TTTACTCAAGAGATCTTCTCTATTCTTTTGGTAGCCACACCCCCAAAGCCTGTCCTCACTCTCCTCGTGTACCCCTTCTACCTCCCCCGGGAAAGAATCCACTTCGCTTTGTCTGTTTCTTTCTGGAAAAACATTGGGAAGGGAGGGTATCGCCTCTTTTCCCTCCTTGGTCTCTTTCTTTCATTCCTAGTCTGGATGAACCACCTGCCTCCAGCCTCACAGTATGGGTTCCTTCTCCAGCCCCAGCCAGACCCAGTCCCTTCTGGACATGCTATGCCTCTGGCTAGGGTCCCCTCATCCTGTCTCACCCATGCCAGGCGTGGCTTCCTAGGCTGCCAACACTCCAGGAGGTCTGTCCACCCTCCTTCCCCCATTTGAGGATCTAGCATGGAGGCTGAACTCAGAGTCCTTAACAAGCTCAGGACCATCAGAGAGGGTACCAAGCCCAGGTGGGTCTCACATGTGCACCACGTTGCAGCAGGGGTCCCAGGCTGGCCCCAGAGTCATTGTACAGTGTCCTACTTTCTTTGTCTGTTTCTCTCCACCTTAACCTCCACCCCACTTCTGATACCCCCTGCCCCCAGGGAGGGGGTGCTCCTTTGAGGAATGAAACGGGTTTCCTATCCTTTTCTTTGCACTTACAGGATCTGGACGTGGCTGATGAGGTGTTGTTTCCCTTTTTCTGCTCAAACTGGGGGCTGTGGGTGAGAGGGCCATTTTTTGTAGTAAGCAGTGTGGGGCTAGTCTGAGTTGTCATTTTCTCAACCTCTGAATCTTTAAATCCATCCCACTCTGGCAGGTTGCTTGGGAGGACCCCAGTGTGCCCGCGTAATGGAGGGAGAAAAGAAAAGGCATTGACAGGGAGGTGGGTTGCGTTCTTTGGGGAGAGGGTGCTGGTTCTCAATCCACTTTCCTGGACTTTGGGAAGCTCCTGGCCAGAGCCCCTAGCTCAGGAATACCAGAGGCCTTCTGGCCCAGTACCAGCTGGCGGAGCACTTCCCATAAACCCCTCAGCCTTGGGGGTGCCTCTCAGGACTTGTCCTCTCTCTGGCCCCTTTTTTCTTTGCCCACCACCTTTTGATACTCCCAGATGGAAGAACTCTTCCTTCCTCGGGCCTTGAGTGAGAACCCAGGAAGCCAAGCCAGTGGTGGAGGGAGTCCCAGGGGAATTCAGGGGTCTCCTTGTCTTTCCTTCTGTGAATGGGCTGGAGCTGGACCTGGCATAACGATAGGCCACTTGGTGCTGGCTCCTGGTCCACTCAGCACAGAGAGCCTCAGCTCTGCCTCTGGCCAGAGCCGCTGGTGACTGGACCTCTGAGCCTGGCTGGTTCAAACCGGCCTGCACTGTGCTGGGAGCTGAGTTTTGTCTCGGCAGCCAGAGGCAGATAGCTGAGCAGCTGTGATGGAGAGTGAAGGCACTGGGGCCACCCTGACCTGTGGCCCTCTCCATGGCCTAGGGGGCTCTGATTCCTGGGAACAGGCCCACCGAGCATGGAGAGCCCACTGACGCTGAGCTGCAGGCTCTGGCACTGAACCCCTGCTCCTCCTTCTTTCTTCCCAAGTGACACCTGGGCCTTGGTAGAGAGTTGTTTTCCTCTCATCTCTAGAGGCCCGGAGAAAGCTCTGGAATGTGTGATCAGTGCGAGAGCCTTGGCCCTAGAAGGGTTGATTGGAGCCCCTCCATGGGTCAGAACTCGCTTTGGCTGCTGTAAGACCAGCCATGGGATGGGCAGCACATCAGGCATGGATGCACAGCAGTGCCTGTGCTGGAGGCTGGGGTGTGAGGGGCCTGAGGGAGGGGCTGGGGGAAGGAGGGTGGCTCCTGCCGCTTGCAGCATTCCACTTCACCCTCACAGCGACCCTGAATGGGGACATTGAGGACAGGTTGGGACAAGCCTGGAGGCATGGGCCATTGCCTGGTTGGCGTCAGAGCTGGTTTTGCTCCCAGGAGGATCTGGTCACAGATGACATGGGCCCCACACACATTGCCTCAAGATGGGTGGGCATAGAGCCTTTTTCATGTCCCTGGTCAGGGCCCACTGTTGGCTGTCACCTCTTGGCCTGGGCTCAGCCCCACCACTTCTGCTGGCCATCTCTGGTGGGCTAGTCTCAAGCACGTTTCACTCTGTTCCTACTGGCAACATTTTTCCTAACACCACCGGGATGCATGGCTTGGGGCTGGCACCAGCCCCACTGTTCATCTAGGGGCTTTCTCAGATGGTGCCCAGCTCTGGGGTGAGGAGAAGAGCCGGTGACCATGCTGAGCCCTGTGTGCTGTGTCTGGCACTGAGCTGCAGGAGACAACTCCATGGGCTTCTGGAGTTAGCTGGGTGCAC